TATATAAAATGACAGTTTATGGTGACCAGTTAAATAAAGCATTATTAATATATGAACCGGGTGGGGGAAGAGTTTGAATGCCATGCAGCAAAACTAAGCTGCGTAAAGTTAATTTCTGATTGGTCCTCTAATATTTAAACAGTCATCAAATATTTGTTGAGAGAAATCATTTCCAGTGCAATGAGAATCAGGGAAGTGAAAGCATTTGAAGAGAGTTTGGGGAGATGCCCAGCTATTACATTGCATGAGAGAAATTGGCATTATAAAAGGTTATTTGTGAAAGGTTTAATTCCACACCGTGGAGTCCAGGCCTTTGTTTACAATACGTTTCAAGGCAAAAAAGTCTAAGCTTGGGACATTCACTTATAGGAAATGGTCTTCACACTGACTGAAGTCCTTTAATTGATTGGACTCAAATTATGTTGGAAGCCAAGTCAGGGCCACTTCGGGTGACTGTGGGATAATTATCCTCTTTTTCAATAAGCAACAACGAAAAAAGATTCCAGAAATCTTTCAAGGATATTTACGATTTCGGATCCTGTCCATCCATGGTTACAGTTGGCTTCCCTTTCTTCTACTTCCCTCGACCATGCCACCACAGTCTCTTTTTTCCCCCTAGTTCATCATCTGCTTACATACCACATCCAAAGTATTTGAGTTTCTGGTTTGTGATCTCTTGTGGACAGTTAGTCTTTATTGGGTCCAGATGTGATTTATTGGTTGACTCCAAATCTGTCATTCAAAGGCATCTAAAAGCTGAAGCTCAGCGAGGACTGCTTGGGCGAGTTCATGCATACTAGGCTGGGCTGCCTTTTTTCAACTGCTGCCTTGAGAAATGTAGCAAATGGGTGATTCTGTAGAACTGAATTGTTATGGATATATTCCTTTTTATTAATATCAGCGTGAAGGAGGCTCAAAGCACTCATAAGTGTTCTCTGTGAAATATATTACATGCAGGAGCCATTTGACTCTGTACAACTTCAGCCCAACACAACACAAAAATGTGTGTGTGGGTATACAGAAGCTTAATACTATGTCCCAGTTCAGGTTTTTGTTTTTGTTTTGTTTCTTGTTTTCCACTCTGTGCCATATTGTAGTGTATCTATTCATTTTTAAAATGTGCATCCCATTTTTCTAGGTCAAAAACAATGGTCCAGGCAGTTCACATCAACTATAAAAACTCAATATGCTTTATCAGAACCAAACAAAGAACAATCATCGCAACTTAAACCAAGTCCCTGCCCCTTGATGATGGATCAAGGCTGACTGAGTTTCTTCAGAGACTTCAGTTCAATAACAAGGGCTTCTATAAATTTGTTGCATTTATACCCTGCCTTTCTTCCAGGTGATGAGCATCTCCCTTCCTTTAATCCCAACAACAGCTTAATGAGTTGTCCAGGCTGAAAGAAGACAACTGTTCCAAAGTCACCCAGGAAGCTTCTGTGGCTGAGGGTGGACTTGAATCCGGGTCTCCACAGCCATAGTCCAATGCCTTTACGCCACAGTGTCTCACTAGAACCTCATCAGCACAAGCCCTTGTTTCAGACTGTGGCAGGGCAGTCTCTCTGCTTCACTTTGCCAATTCACTTTGAAATTGTACTTTAAATTTAGCACTCTTCCAAGATCTGCTAAAGGATACATGACAGCCCATTCTAAGCAAATGCACTGCAGATAGAAAATAAGAGGCCAACTGAGTCTCTCCTAGAAGGAAATTCCACACCGTGCTTCTGCGAAGGCTCCCTCTTGCATTCACGGCTGTCTTGCTTCAGCCATAGGGGATGCTTCAGGCATAGGATCTCAGGAATTAAGGATGGTACGGCATATAAAGATTCTTAAGTAACTACACCCAGTCCATTTATCACATCCATTTATCACATCCATACGGACATCCATTATCACAAGTTTGCTGAATTATACCTGGAAATCATCTGTTCACATATGACTCAAAGTTGGGGTTGCCATATCTGGGCTGCAAAAATCCAGGTGACCTCCAGGTGTCAGCAATAAGATTAAAGACTCTCTGCTGACAGTTGGTGATCCTCCAGTTTTTTGCATCCCAGATATAGTAGAAGCTAGAATGGTAACAAAGTTCATCTTACTGAGGTCCTTTTTCCTGTAATCTTCCCTATACACATGCTTTACTTCCTCTGTAGACTTCCACAGATCAAAAATTCTCAGGGACATATTTTATATTATGTGTGTGTTCACCAAAAGGAGGTCATACTTATCATCTGCTACATGACAGACAGCGGATACCATATGGATGCTTAAAGAATTTGCTCCACTTCATTTCAGCCAAGTGATCTGATTTTACCAACCTGTGTAGACTAATGTTATTCTTCAGATCATAAATTTATGTCATAGGATAAATGATGTTTACAACTGTGTTCTTGAAGAGAACATCCCTTTGGATAAAAAACAGTTTTTGTAGGAAAATCTGTTCAGAAGTACATATTCAGATCCAACTCTATGGGATCTTCTCCTTCTTCTCCTTCTCCTTCTCCTTCTCCTTCTCCTTCTCCTTCTCCTTCTCCTTCTCCTTCTCCTTCTCCTTCATAAAAATGAGGTTAGTATACAAATGGCACTGAATTTATATATGAAAATTTACATTGAAAGGAAGAAATAGACAATCTCTTCTAAACTGGTGTTTCTGAACTAGCTCATTGAGTTTTATGTGATGTTTTGTAACTGGATTTCAAAAGAGGTTACTGGTTCACAAACTGATTGGTCAGACCTCACTTCAAGGACCATGCCATTCTGGGCACCGCGTTTTTAGAAAAACTCAGAGAAAGTGGAATAGCTGCTGAGAATGTCAAAAAGGACAGTCAAAGGGACCAGAGACTAAATCCAGCAAAGAGAAGCTGAGGGAATTAGGTATGTATAGACTTCAGAAAGATGACCAAGGGGAGATATAACAGTATTTTTCGAGTACTTGATAAAGGACCTGCTCTCTATTGTTCCAGTGATGGAATCATGGTCATAAAATATTTGAAAGGGAATTCTGGTTGAATCTTATGAAAAATGTCCTAACAGCAAAAGTAGTTTGACAGTGAAATCTGGGGACAGAGAGACAAGTAATGTCACACATGTTGTGACGATGTCTTTGTATAAATCACCAGAATTGCACAATTTGTGCAAATTAGTAATTTGTGTTATTCCCATAATGGTTTCATGAAATTCAGGATGTCATCATGGCTTCTATCAGGCCCTCAATACATTGTTTTTATGTGTTCAGTATGGAGCAGGACATCCTCCTCATGATATATGTTCTAGGTCAAGTGTGTCAGATTACTAATCATGTTTTTTTCCACCTGTCTGTGTACACTGTTAGTGTGTGGACAGATAATATATACAAAGAATGTGTGTTTTTTACACAGATTTCCAGAGAACAGCTTGTAGCATGTGCTTTTCCTTTGTTTGGATATGTTTTCTGTGGTGGCATTGAAAATGGCAAGGCACGTATCCTTATGAATGAATTAGATTGTCCTATGGAAACCTTATACGTGCAAATAATTTCCATCAGAAACCTTTTTGCTCCATAGGTCTATTGGATTGCTCAAGAACGTGGTTTGTTTTTTTATAACAAGTATATCTTATTTCTAAAAGACAGTCAGTATTGACAGTTGACCATTCTACCTTTGCTAAATCTTTTTCCGTAATGGAACACTTATGTAAATAAAATGGAGGGGATGGGTAGAGAATCAGGTCAAGACAACCACTGTATCCACATACTATAAATTGATGTTTTTCATCTTTCCTCATTATTTTATTCTGAAGTGAGACGGTAAGTCAAAGTCCTTGATTCAAAGCTGGAACCTCTATCTAGTTTGTTGTGAAAGAGTCCTATTAGTTTAGCAGAAATTTCTTTTGAGTAGATATCTATCGCATTCAACTATATATTTTTGAACTTTGTAAAGATGCATGCCAATTTTAAAATTAACCCACCAATGTTAATATCAAATGGAATATATCTGTATTATTTTATTTCTGTTTCAATAGTAATTAATGACCTGTCATCCTGACTGCTTGAAATTGAAACTGAAAAGGGGGTTAAAGTAATTTAAATAAATAGAAATGTTCTTGAATAAAGAAGGGTAGGACTGACTTGTCATTTAGATATTTTCATCTTATTTTGATTATCAGTTTAAAGAAACTGCTGTTGAAAATATCATAACTACCAGTAGAATAAAGAGAGGTAAATAAAATGACTTGATTAAAGAGGGAGGAAGCATCAAATCTTTTCTAAACAAATGATGATACATAGAACAAATATATTCTTTCTTAGCGACACTTACTTATAGGCTGTGCCCACCCTACTCTCATAAAGAGTTGGTTATGAAAATAATGTTTATATGAGAGGAAGCAAAAGCAAATATACTTATTCAACTTAAATAAATCTACATGATAGCTACGTGAATGTGTTTGTGAAGTCACCAAGAGATGAGTTCAACTTGAAGGAGACTTTATCTTCCCATACTGAAGTTATATCAGTTTCATATCTGTGGCAAAGAAAATGGTTGAGAACCCTTTTTGAAGCACAGAGATATTCTACAATGCAATGCTATGGATCTTAACCAGTCAAAGTGAGACTATTTAGGTGACAATGTGCACTTATGCTCTCCATAAGCACGCTTTGCAGCATCCAATTGTCCCCAGAAATACAGGCAGCTGTTTCATAACAGAAGTGCAAAACTGAGGTATGGATTATGAAGGAAACATTATTTAAAGTATGCAAGGTTGACTACTGTAGCTCTGGCTGAGCTCCCTTAGCCTATGTTCTGCCTTTCACCACCTACAATGCTGATGTTATTTATAATCATGTGATTTCCTAATTTAAGTGACCTGCATATTGTATCTAGGTATAAGACTCTTCAACCCTTCTTTTTCAATTTGTGTGAGTCATTTTGGAAATAAAGATCATTTTGATGCAAGCCCATCTGCTGAAAATACTTTTCTTCATTTAGTTGGTTGAAAAAAGATGCTGTTACCCCAGCTGGTTCATATCCTTGCTATAGCAGCTGCTTTGTTGGGAGCAGGCCATGCGCAGATAAGTTGTGTAGGTAAGCTTGGAAATAACAAAAGATTAAATAATAATGATTAAATGATCAAAGATAAGGTTGTAAATAATCAGACGTTATCCTGTTGCTAATGAACCGAACATTCTGGGTGGCTTCTTGTGTCTAGATTTTAAAGATGAATTTTACAGGGGAAATCTATAAAGAAAATAATGTTCCTATTTTTAAAATCCAATAACAAGTACAATTTTTTAAAAAATGCCTTTGCAATGGGGACAATCGACTGATATCACCGTGTGCTGTTTTCTCCATTGAATATTATAGGGGGGAAAAAAAGAATGGTGATAGAGATTGTGTACCCCAACTTTTGAGAATTCAGATCATTGAAGTTCAAGATACATTTGTGGTTTGACAACAGAGCAACAAACTGCTCTACTGAAAATCCAGTGCTGTTTTGTATCTGAAATTTGAAATCAGTGCCCAAGAATGTTAAAGAGAGTGACAGGTTTACATGTATATGTTTTCCTTTGAACAGGACCCCAAGGACCTCCTGGAAAAAATGGATCTCCTGGCCCTCAAGGGCCAAGGGGCAAACCAGGCGAGAGAGGAGTTCCTGGTCCACCAGGTGATGGAGTATCATCCTTTTCATGGGCTTTTCCTGGGTTCCCAGCCCTGGGCAGATATACTTGTCTCTACATCTAGTTTTGCACAATTCAGAATTCCATTCAGATGACACGTGTATCCTCCCTTCCCTTTTTGAAATCTCCTTGTTTCCTGTGTTGCCTGATGAAAAGTTTCAGAGCACTTTCCAGCACACTCATCATAATAGAAGGCTTGCCCTCTGAAAGGTTTTAGAAGCGCCCCTATTTTTGTAAATTGTTTTCATCCAGACAATAATTAGGGCCACTAACTTGATCATCTTCTCGGCATCCTTAAATGACAAGGAGACCTAGCTTTTCCTGTGTTTTGTTGTGTTGCTTAGGCAACTGGACCTTACTTATTAATTTGTTAATCAAGCCCCCAGGGTGTTGGGAGGGGTAGGGGTAAAAATCAACAGGAACTTATTCCACAAAATAAAAATGGATGAGACAAACTCTCTGAGATTATTCACCTTGAAGTACAGGCTAAATTATGCGGATGTGGGTGAGAGTTATTGTACAGATGCAATCAGTTATGAGAGCCCTTGACTTCATGGAGATGTTTGCCTCCTGCAATCCAAAGATCCTTATTGGTTTTGCTCCACAATCCTGTCTTTACCTTCCCAACCTGGTGCTTTCCAGATATGTCAGATTTCAAGTCCCATAATGCCAGGTAGCATGGCTACTTAGAAAGCTGGATGGAAAACCTATGCACACCTGTGCTGCAGGTGAAGACGCAAGCAGGGGGAGATATCTGAAGTGTTTAGTAAGTGGAATGAGGTTGGTAAAGCAAACTCCATTCAGCTTTCGGCCACATCAGCTTGATTTGTTTTTTCCCAAAAGCTCCTTAGTTCTAGAACGGGATTTTCTTCAGAAAGCAATTGGTATAAGAAGTTTGTTATTGTAAACATGCTTGGTTCTTTTAAAAAGCAGGGTCTAACCTGTCAGTTAATTTAAACTATACATGTGTTAGGTTTAAATCTTAATTTTGTCTAATTGAATTGTTCATTTTATTTTTATTTTTTCTTGCATTTATTATCTCCTCTTTTCCCCCCAGTAGACACATCTACATTAAACCATTATGTAGAAACCTCTAAACTATAGTGTTCTTCGTTCATTGAAACACATGAACATTTGCTGTAAGAGTGTAACATATGCTCACTGGTGTATAGCCCAGAGAATTCCCAAAAGGTAAAAGAGGAGAGGATTACCAGAATCAACCATACTGAATTCTGTAGCTTTGAAATTTTGTTTGTCTGCGATGCAGATCTTTCACAGATCTCAGATTAAGTGAGGCCATAAATTCTAAACCACAAGCGTGCTGTGAAATGCAAAATCATGACTCAGACCTCAACTATAGAATATTAATTATTTGATTTATTGCCCCTTGCAGAAATGCTTATGAATAAGAAGACTAATTCTTGTTCAATTGGTTAATCTTGCATAAAATGAGTATGTGCAACATCTCAAATTCATCAGCCTTTCTTGTATAAGGTCAGCCACTAGAGGGAACCATGCACTTTAAATTAAAATACACCTGCTCCAGACTCTGCTTGATACAGGAGTTGAAGAAAATGATATTTTCTTCCTGAATCAAATCAACACTCTGAAGTTTAGACCATAAGATATTGCCTTTTCATTTTAAAATCTCAATCCAGCATCCCAACATCTTCAGTTTTCCCCTGGGGCAGTGAATCCTTGGTGAGATTTGTAACTTCTAAAATGTTCTATAATTAAGGATCCTTCTTTTGTGGAATCTATTGTCCTAGGAAGTCCAGCACTGATTTATCTCTGAAAAATTCCTCACATTTTCAAAGAGCAGATGCAACTCAGAACAAAACATATTGCAGGGTTATATGTTGTTCTAGTGTTTGCATCAGATTGCATAATTTACTTCAGTGTAATCCATTCCTCCTCTATTCTGTATATTATTGGCACTAACAATATCTAGACTCTGGGGGGAAGTAAGTATTGTTTTTCCCCTAAATATTTTTCTGTCCTGTTGGAAACACCCAGTGTGGTGTAGTGGTGAAGGCACCAGGCTAGACACCAGGAGACCAGGAGTTCTAGTCCCACCTTAGTCCCACCTCTGCTTTCTTCAGAGCCAAAGTTAACCTTTAGGGATGAAGAATTTGAGTGCCTTCAAAGGTTTACCAACGAAACAGGGAGGCTCAAACA